TTACGTGTCGTGCCATGCAAGCCCAATTGTCAACTTTGCTAGGCCCGGCCCAGGCCTGGGCACAGTTCGAATCGTGCCGTGCCTATTCGTGCTCGTGCCATGCTTGTATTCGTGTTTAATGAAAATGACGAAAACAAAAGAGAGAATGAAAAAGAAGGTGAAAATTGGACGAGGGAAGATAATATTAACCGATAATGTTTGAGAAAAATAACAAATAGGGGGAAAAGAAATTTGAAAATATAGCGAGTGTGATTTGACTTTGTTTAATTCTTTGTCCATTTTTACTTATGTTAGTAATTACATATATATCTTTATGACACTTCTAACAACAACAAATAATTATTTTTCTACTTGTGTTTTGCAATATTTGAACCTATAATTCTTTTTATACTTATTTTCTATCAAATAAATATTATTATCGTACCATGTTCGTTCTTATACTCAATAAAGTCTCTAAAATATTAGGCCCGACACGGCCCACTTATATACCGTGTCGTGCCCGTGCCCGTGCCCATGAAGTTTAGGCCCGGCACGGCCCATAAATTATTCATGCTCGTGCCGGGCTGGCCCATTTATTTCGTGCTCGTACCGTGCTCTAACCGTGTTGTGCTAGCCCGTGGGCGGCACGGCCCGGTGCCCACGTACAGTTCCAAACACCCGCTGGAGGGTTATCCTGTTTAGGTCAAACTCGCCTTGATTCGGTCAAAACCTGGCAAACCCAGGTGGTTTGCCCGGCACCACGGGTACCAGGTGGGAGATGACCACATCGTCTTTCTTTTCTTCCATTCTGCTGAGATTTAGCATCGCGCATGTGGCCGACGGCCTTGTCTTTTCCCCTTCCTCGGTTCCCCTAACCCTATTATTTTCCTTCATCCTTCTCGCAGAGTCTCACCCCAAGCATCATAGTTGCTCTGGCTGCCCTTCTGCCTCATATCGTCTTCCACGCCGGCGGCGGCTTCCGCCTTCTTCCTTCTCCCACACCGACAACCCCATCCAAACTCTCACCCGTCGTGGGGCCTGGTCGTCATTCAATCCCCTCTTCATCCTTCTCGCATAGCCGCTCCTGGTAGCCAATCGTCGCCATGACTCGTAAGGCGTGGTCGTCAATCAATCGCCTGGAGAGTGGTTTTCAATGTGTTCAATTGATAATTATATCATTATGAATTTATGATTGATGGCTATGCATGTTAAATCTGATGGTAGATTCAATGATGCCCTGGTGTTGCGCGTTGCTGTTTGTGTTGCTCTGCTACAATCGGTGACTTGGGAGAGGGTCTCCTACTCAGACACTATCCATATCGTCAGCGACGACTACGTTTTATCATTTTGGTGTTCATTGCATATACATACTGTATGTGTTATGTTTGATGTGGAGAGGAAAGGACAATGAATAGCTTGTCACATAGATGAAGTTTCAGCTCGGCAAATCTGCCACTCTGTCTCCATCTGAACCCTCTACCTCCCACTACCTCTCCTCACGGTAAGGTTTTGAACTCTGCCTCTCTCCACCTGTACAAATGGTAGTGGATGAGCAATTAAACATCTCAAGTATAGTTGCTCCTCTATTAGCAATTTAAAAACATTGTATTGGTTTCCATTGAGATAACCACCAATTGGCTAACCTTGTAGCTAGATCTCTGCTATTCCGTAAAAATTGCCTTGGATGATTTTGTTTTAATGTGAATTTTAAGCATGACTTGTGCATATATATCTGGGCTAATTCGGACCAAACCGGGTTGACAACCTTGCCAGTCAGCTTGACACGTCACCCCAAAAAATAAAATAAAAATAGACACATCAGACCAACCTAACCAACCGACCTAACCCCAACCCACCCACCCAACCCACCCGAAGTCAATGTGGGGACCAGGGCTGGCGAAGACAGACAGCCGCCATCGTTTCTCTTTCTAGATAAAGGGCAATTCCTCTCCAACCCGACTGCTTTCGTCGCTCATTGTTGTCACCCTTCACTAGAGACCTGCAAACTCACACCTCCCCATAACAATCTCCTCCTGCCTCTTCCGAAAGCTTCCTCCCCCACCCAAAACCTTTGTCTTCTGGTTCGACGAAGATCCCGCAAAATCACACCATCTGAAAGGGGAAGAGGGACAATTCATGGAATGGTAGCAGTTTGATAAGAACAATATATATGTCGTGTAGTTATGAACTTGGAGAAAAATCTGTTTGGTTGGCAATTGGGTTGGATCCAATGATTCTTAGATCCCCAATTTTGGTATTGGCTCTAATTACAAAAGAAATCATTCCCAGTGAGAGGACTGTTTTTGGAATTGGAATACTAAAAAGGGTTTGCCTTTTTCCTTATCAGGAGATGGAAAAGGTGAGGAATTGAAGGGTGGGAGGTTTCTTCTTCTCGATTGATTCTTCTTTCATTCTAGCCGCCCTAGTCTAAACTTGGAACTAGGTAAATATCTATATCTTTGAAAGATTCAAAATTTAGGTTGCCTTGGTTCCCCCGAATGGATTGAAACAAAGTCGGCAACTCAATCTGCCGCAGTCTTCAAATCATTTTCTCCTACGGCTGCTGCTGATAACTTTCTTCCTCTTCTCCTCTGCATCCTCCATCGTCGCCGACAACAACTTTACGAGATGCAAGTGCGACGATGAGGACAGTTTCTAGAGCATAGAACCTAGGATGCTAAATGGTCAGAGATTTTTTAATCGTTGTCGCCTATTTTTCAATCCCAATTGAGTTACTCTATTTCATCGGGTGGGTTGGGTGGGCGAGTTAGGGTCGGTTGGTTAAGTTAGTCTGATTTGTTCATTTTATTTTTATTTTTTTTGGATGACGTGTCAAGCTGACTGGACTAAATTGACAATTTTTTGCATGGAATTGGACAGAATGACTGTTTTGGTATTCGTCTAAAGATGTTTTACTTAAACGTGCAAAAATGAAGTTTAGTGACCGATTTGTACTAAGTGACAAGTTGTATGACCGTTTATGATAACTACCCGGAAAACAACTTGGGGGGGGGGGGGGGAAGTTAGGGGTGGTTTGCTTGTGGGATTTGGGTGTTGTATTTAGGATACAAATACCAAGCATTATGTATTTGATAAAAACTATTGTTTGTTGTGGTATACAAATCAAATGCATTCTCCATAAACTATCTAAATACTAATGATCCACTAGAACAATGCTTACTATAAGTAGGAGGAGAATACTTCTGATAACACTATATTTATACATGTTTTTACCCCTCAATGTGGGAGCTAAAGTAGGGTTCAAGAACCGTTACCATGGTAAGTAGTAAGAGATGATTGGGATGCAATAAAGTTGTATGGACCCCAAACACATCCTCGAAGGGCACTCAGAGCCAAGAGAAAAACCATTTGATGGTGTATCTCAAACTCTATGCGTTGTTGCCACTCACGTGAGAGGCTAAGAGCCTCGTTGTAAAAGTTGAGAGTTAAAAAATGATAGAGAATCTCACACACATGTTCTTCCTAAAATAGCAAACATTATTGACCCACCAAAGAGGAAGAAGAGAGTAAAATCCCTCATACACTGGTAATCCAATCATGCAACTACTCTCTAGTGAGCACAACACATCTATCATCTATCAATTCAAAGCACATTGAGTAGGAAGTTGAAAGAAACAAGATGGTTTGGAACCCTCAAAGTTGGAAAAAAAATTAGGTATAAAAGTTTTCAAAACACTATCATTTGGCCACTCAACACCACACACACACCCAATCGATATGTGCACTACCACAAGCAATCATCAACGTCTTACATTCATAATAAAGGGATGCTACTACGATTCATGGCACATTCAATCATGAACTTTTAAAGCATACAATGCATTCTCCCCACACTTAAGAGACACATTGTGGACGTGCACGACTAGAAGCTGACATTAAGGATAGAGACAGAAGTCACTGCCTTCGATCAAAGAAAGGAGCAAAAACATAGCTTCTCAACATGGATGGGTAGGATTTTCTAGGAGTAGTCGACCTCGAGCCAGCATTCTCCGTAAACTATCTAAAAACTAATGATCCACCAGAACCATGCTTACTACAAGTAGGAGGAGAATACTTCTGATAACACTATATTTATACATATATTTACACCTCGTTTCTTGATTGTTTAGCTTGGTGTTAAACATAATTTGCCCTATTTTATGCTAGGTTATGTTTCTTTGTCATATTTCAGGTCCTAGCACGTAAAGTGAAGTATAGACGCAAGTTTCAAGTCGGTCGGAGATCAATTGGCTACTCGGGGGAAGAAACTCGGGTCAAGGGTCGAATGACTGCTTTATGTCGACTGATAACCTTATTTGATAGAGGGAATCTAGTTCAAAACGCCTTGATCGGTTGTTTAAGAGAAGGATACATCCCTCTAGGCAATCGACTCAAGAGGGCCTTGACTTCTTTAGTCTAGATTCAAGGTCTAGTCAAGGATTCTCCGCATTGTGAATGAAAGTGAAACAAGTTAGAGATCATCAATCCTTAATCTGGCTAGTGGCTAGGGGGAATCATACCTAAGTGAGTTTCCAAACTTTAATTAGTAGTCTAACCTAGTTTAGGTTGCAGAGTAGTTTAGTTAATCAAACCTCAATTTGATTTGCTAGATAATGAATTGGATCTAAGTAATAGTACATCTAGAGACCCGAGGATTCGATATTTATTACCTGTGCTACTATACTATAGTACCTTTCATTGGTTACACTTGACCATTGTTAAGAGTAGTGTTTTAGCGACTCAACTTCCATGAATTGGATCGACCCTAGCATGATAGGCGAGCCAGAAGGTCAGGATGACCCGGAGCCATGCGTAATAGAGTTCCTGTCTGAATAAAAGACTTCCTACGAAGAACCGCCAGAGATAGACCTAAAGGCTTTGCCTGAAAATCTAGAATGTCCATTCATGGCCGATGGGGAGAAGTTGCAAGTTATTATCAATTCAGCCATGTCCCAAGAACAGAAGGACCAATTAATTGAGCTACTAAAAAAACACCGAAAAGTGATAACATGGTCCATAACTGATATTCAAGTGATTCATTCATCATTCTGCACACATAAGATACTAATGGAGGACAATCATAAGCCAATAGTAAAACCTCAAAGACGAGTGAATCCTTATCTTAAGAATTCATAAAGAAGGTGACTCACTTCTACTGTCACCCTAGGAATTGGCCAAGTGAAACCACTTCCTAAAGCGTAGTATAGCGGGTTTAGGTTTAATTATCAACCCGAGTCCTAGATTTGATGACTACTCAGTGAATTCTTGTTATCTAGCAATGAAACTTGAATGCAAGTCTAAACTACCAAACAAACAAAGCAAGTAAACTGTTGTATTCAGGTTAAGAGAGGTCACCCGGATATGGTTCCCCCTAGACTGCAGTTAAGCCGGATTGTAATTACCAAGTTCAGTTTCTATGATAGTTATACTGCGGAAGGTTCTTAAACAGTCTGAAGTCTCGACTAAAGGTCTTCAGACCCTCTCAATCTGAGTCTCTAGCGGGCGACTAACCTCCACCGGAGTAAACAGATTGAGGCCTTAACAAACAAAACCTCCACTACCGGAGTAAATCCAGTACAGAATAGTGAGTTGGCTCCTCGACTAAAGTCACCAACTCCCTACCTTCAATCAAGGATGCTCTATCAACCTAGGCAGATATTCTCATTCTAGGTCAAATCAGAAACAACAGGAATTTGATCAAGATTCAAGTCATTCAATCATTCAAACCTCAATCGAATATAATCAAATCATAGAATCAGTACTTGGGTTCATACAATCAAAGCCTAACATACAAATCTAGGGTTCTCCATACCCAGATGAATGGGAGAACTACTCCATGGAGAAAGAAGCAAAAGCAGAATCAGACGCGGAATTCATACTGTGAAGGATGGATTCCTGCTCCTGGACGTTGATCGGCACTTCTCCAAGCTCAAGCTGGCCTCCAATGGTGTTGAAGATCAATCTAGGGCACTTGGAGACTCTTGTTCGTCGCTTTCTCTCTCTAGGAATCGTTCTCTCTCTCAAAAACTCGAATCCCCTGATTTTCAGCCCTCTTTTCCCTTAAAACAGCTGCCTGTCGCGATACCCGGTCGGGTATTTTGGGTCTCGACCGGGTATTATTAAAACGCACGTTTCATGCCAGGGGAAAATCCCCGGTCTGCTCCAATAATCCCCGACCGGGGATTTAAGCCTCACGACCGGGACCCCTTCTGTTTCTCAGACGCCAAAAAGGGAATTCCCCGGTCTCCTCAGAATAATACCCGGCTGGGTATTTGTGGTTATGGCCGGGTATTTTCTTCCTTCAGCCCACTTCAAGCCTCACTTGCTCCTTTCGACCCGAATCTCGTTCCTTCGCCTCGATTCCAACGCCGGGTCCTGAAATACGACATAAACACACAACCTCGCGTGAAATCGGCTTAAAACCCGAGAATCAACCTTTCAAACGGCTCAAGAATAGGGGTGAAAATACGTGTAATTATCGGTCTATCAAACTCCCCCACACTTAACCGTTTGCTTGTCCCTAAGCAAACCTAACTCAAACCAATGCAACTCTCCAGACCTCTATAGCAACAAACAACCCAGATCGTAGGTAGAGGACTTCCTAGATCATTTAGCAGCTTACGAGGTCAACCGACGCACAAGTCATCTCATAGCTTCTTCGGCGAGAGCACTAGTATCGAGTCGGCATCTTGGCAACCAGTGAACAGAGGACAAATGAATTGTGGATGAAGAGATTCTCAACAACAAAGGATCATGGACTCACATTTTTCAAGGTGCTCTATTTTCTTCTTGAAGATGGTTGGAACCCCTTTTCTTTCTGTTTTGCTTGTTTTCTGTTATTATTTTTCTTCTCTTTTTTTTCAAGGGTCCCAACCTGCTCTTACCGGCCATGCCAGGAGCGGATGTCTCGAGCCTCGTGCGAGGGAAAGACATGTAAGGGGGCTGGAGGTAGTAGGTGGAAATTGGGAACGAATTCCCGTCTCCCCTTACACACTTTCTCCCTATTCGCACGGGAGACGTTATTTGAAAGCACATTTCTGAGCACCTGTTATTTTCAAAACATGATACAAGAGTCCACGACCGGTAGAGAATCCACAACGCCACACAATTCAAGGGTCCTAAGATCACTAATTCACTCAATCAACCAACACAATATGAAGAAGCAATGAGACTTCTTAAATGCATCAACATCCTCCATAGTGCTACACTACCTCCCTAGGTTGCATATTACTATAAAGACTGTCAATTCAAAGCATACTGAGCAAGCAATTGCAAAGAACACGTACTTGGAGCCCTCAAATTTTAAAAATTTGGACAGTGGACTAGGCTCCAAGCACACAAACAGATCTAATGCAGTCAAAAGATAAACACCCCCCCCCACACACACACTTAATATCGACATTGCCCTCAATGGAGAAGAGGGAAGGGAAAGGGGAACGATGTTATCGGTATGCACGGACTGCAGGGGACTGGAAGCGGACCAGTCGGAGTGAAGCGGACTGGAGAGAGGACCAGTCAAGACAAGCACAGCCAAAGGAAACCAAAGAGCTCAAGCACAATATGTTAGGTCCAATGTCAGCCCAATAAGACATCATCCAAAACAAAAGAAAACAAACCAAAACCAAACTGGTTTACAATCCGACTCAAAACACAAGAAAGAAAGTCAAACCGTGGTGGGGTTGCCTCCCCACAAGCGCTTCTTTACCGTCTTTTAGCTGGACGCCCATGGTGGATACTCAGGGAGGTGCAGGAACAGGTGCCTCCAAGAGAGGATCCACATCTCTCTTGAGGTACAGCTTCAGGTTGTGGCCATGCACCCGACGGATGCGACCACCATCATCGGTCAGCTCGACCTGGCCATCCGGCAAGATGCAGGCGAGTGAGTACCCGGACGGCCAGGGTGGTCGTGGTGCAGGCGGTGGGACCAGCTCATAGTGGTCTCCACTCTTCTTCCGTGCAGGATTAGCAACCTGCTACTTCGGCCGCCACTCCTCCTTGATCTTTTTGTTCGGAGGAGAGACTGGATGGAGTGGCGGCGAAGGAATGATAGGAGGGTCCTGCAAAATGAGAGGAGCAGAAGGATACACGACAGGCTCGTGTACCTGATCAGAAATGGCATGCATAGGAGTGACAACAATCATAGCACAGTGATCAAGTTCAGTCACAGAGAAAGTAGCCTGTTCATTCCCAGCACGCAGGATCAGTTTACCATCATGCACATCAATAAGTGCCTTGGCGGTGGCAAGAAATGGTCTACCCAGAATCAAAGGCACATCCACATCCTCATGTATATCAAGAATAACAAAATCAACAGGATATGTGAATGCACCTACTTTAACAAGCAGATCCTCTATGATTCCCCTAGGATGCACAATGGAATGATCAGCTAGCTGAATGCTCATCCTAGTAGGGCTAAGCTCACCTAGGTCTAGCTTTTTATACAACTTATATGGCATTACATTTATGCTAGCGCCTAGGTCCGCCAAGGACTTGCCTACATGCATGCTGCCAATAGTAAGAGGGATAGTAAAACTCCCTGGATCCTTGCGCTTTTCGGGCAGCTTGTTCTGCAGGATAGCAGAACACTCCTCGCTCAGCAACACTGTCGAGAGATCCCCAAGCTTCTTCTTGTTGGTGAGGAGGTCTTTCATGAACTTGGCATACTTGGGCATCTTCGACAGTGCCTCCACGAACGGTATGCTGATGTTGAGCTGCTTCAACATTGCCATAAACTTGGCAAACTTAGTCTCCAGCTTGTCTTTGTGTAGGCGAGTGGGGAAGGGAAGCTGGGGTACATGCTCCTTAACCACTGGTTGTGGCTTGGGAACAGGGGCTTCCTTCTCCACCCGCACTTCTGCATCGTCGGCTGGAAGTGCTGAAGCATGTAGTGGTTCCTCCTGTCTGGCCGGGACAGGATCAGCAGATATGGTCTTACCACTCCTGGTAAAAATGGCATCCAGCTGCTGGAGCTGGTGAGGATCCCGAGGATTCGGGATAGTGGTGGCAGGCAGAGTCCCCGGTGCCCTGGTAGTGTTTTGGCGGGCCAAGATACCCACCTGGTGCTGCAGATCTTGCAAGATGGCACCTTGGTTCCTCTGACCTGCCTCCAGTGACGTGATAGCTGCATGAGTGCTAGTCATGAATGAAGCTAGAATGTTTTCCAGCTTCGTCATCCGATCATCTGGGGCAGGAGTTGCCGCTGGCTCGGCAAACTGGCGCTGGGGATGCTGGAATGGTTGCCCCTGCCGAGGCTGGTAGGGCTGCTGCTGTGGGGCTGGCCCCTGTCGAGCCTGGAAGGGCTGCCTCTGCTGAAAGCCACCAGCTGGTGCTGGGAAACCAGGTGGTTTAGTGGTGTTGCTGCTCCAGGCGAAGTCGGGATGCTGGCGCCACCCCTCATTATATGTGCTGCTGTACGGGTCGAGGCGCCGAGCATTGGCGATGAAGTCCAACTGCTCTTGGGGAGTGGTAGACTCCCTCATAGCATGGCAGTCCTCCACTAGGTGATTGGAGCTCTCGCACCACTGACATTGAGCTACTGGAGGTGTAGCCAAACCTCTGCCCGGAATAAGACTGTTGGGCTGCTTCAATGTCTGCACTAGCTCAGCTACCTGCTGCTCGAGCCCGGATCTGGTCTCCATGGCGTGCACACCACGGTCCCGGGACTGTCTGCCTCGGCTACCCTGTCCCCAAGAATGATCTCTGGCAGCCAAAGTACTGATCATCTGGTTCAGCTCGGGTGGAATCTTAGTAAGAATATCCCCTCCTGGGCATAGAGACTCAATCACCCTCTGGCTATATGGAGAGAGGGCACTGTAGAAGTTCCCCACTGTGAATGCATCACTGAAGCCATGATGGGGACACTGCCAGAAATAGCCCATGTACCGCTCCCAAGCATCACGAAGTGACTCATCTGGCTCTTGGCGGAAGTGAGTGATCTCCCGCTGGATCTCTGTAGTCTTCGATGCCGGATAGTACCTGTGCACGAATTTGTCAGCCAGATCATCCCAAGATGTGATGGACAATGGGGGCTGGGTCTCCAACCACCTCTTAGCATTCCCCGCCAGAGAATGGGGGAAGAGATGAAGGCGGATTGCATCATCAGGGACACCATTCAGCTTGAACCCGTTCGTCAACTGCAGAAAACGGGAAAGATGCACCCTGGCCTCCTCATCCTTCAAGCCATGGAACTGGATAGAGGACGTAATGAGCTGAATCCAGCATGGCTTGATCTCGAAGTTATTTGCTGGGATAGGTGGGTAGAGGATGACCGGGCGGATGTCAGCAATCCGTGGAGTGTAGTAGTACTCCAAGGTGGGACTCGGCGGCGGTGGATGATGAACCCCATGATCCTGGGGTATGGGGTTGTTCCCCAGGACCTGATTCACCGGGGGAGCCTGCTGAGGATTCCCCTGGTGTTGATTGTAATCTCCGTCCATGTTGTACTCTTCCTCAGAATCGCTGCTCAGGTGGCCGTCTATGCGCTCTTCCGTAGCCAGTCTAGCTCGCTGTTGTCTCCTGAGTTGGCGACAGGTGCGGTCAATCTCTGGATTCAACGGCAGTAAACCTCCCGACTGGCTACGGGTCATGCACTAGAATGAGAATACACCAGGTTGCTAAGCCTGCACGGAAGAAGAGTGGAGACCACTATGAGCTGGTCCCACCGCCTGCACCACGACCACCCTGGCCGTTCGGGTACTCACTCGCCTGCATCTTGCCGGATGGCCAGGTCGAGCTGACCGATGATGGTGGTCGCATCCGTCGAGTGCATGGCCACAACCTGAAGCTGTACCTCAAGAGCGATGTGGACCCGCTCTTGGAGGCACCTATTCCTGCACCTCCCTGAGTATCCACCATGGGCGTCCAGCTAAAAGACGGTAAAGAAGCGCTTGTGGGGAGGCAACCCCACCACGGTTTGACATTCTTTCTTGTGTTTTGATTCGGATTGTAAACCAGTTTGGTTTTGTTTTTTTTTTCTTTTTTTCTGGATGATGTCTTATTGGGATGACATTGGACCTAACATATTGTGCTTGAGCTCTTTGGTTTCCTTTGGCTGTGCTTGTCTTGACTGGTCCTCTCTCCAGTCCGCTTCACTCCGACTGGTCCGCTTCCAGTCCCCTGCAGTCCGTGCATACCGATAACATCGTTCCCCTTTCCCTTCCCTCTTCTCCATTGAGGGCAATGTCGATATTAAGTGTGTGTGGGGGGGGGGGGGGTGTTTATCTTTTGACTGCATTAGATCTGTTTGTGTGCTTGGAGCCTAGTCCACTGTCCAAATTTTTAAAATTTGAGGGCTCCAAGTACGTGTTCTTTGCAATTGCTTGCTCAGTATGCTTTGAATTGACAGTCTTTATAGTAATATGCAACCTAGGGAGGTAGTGTAGCACTATGGAGGATGTTGATGCATTTAAGAAGTCTCATTGCTTCTTCATATTGTGTTGGTTGATTGAGTGAATTAGTGATCTTAGGACCCTTGAATTGTGTGGCGTTGTGGATTCTCTACCGGTCGTGGACTCTTGTATCATGTTTTGAAAATAACAGGTGCTCAGAAATGTGCTTTCAAATAACGTCTCCCGTGCGAATAGGGAGAAAGTGTGTAAGGGGAGACGGGAATTCGTTCCCAATTTCCACCTACTACCTCCAGCCCCCTTACATGTCTTTCCCTCGCACGAGGCTCGAGACATCCGCTCCTGGCATGGCCGGTAAGAGCAGGTTGGGACCCTTGAAAAAAAAGAGAAGAAAAATAATAACAGAAAACAAGCAAAACAGAAAGAAAAGGGGTTCCAACCATCTTCAAGAAGAAAATAGAGCACCTTGAAAAATGTGAGTCCATGATCCTTTGTTTTTGAGAATCTCTTCATCCACGATTCATTTGTCCTCTGTTCACTCTTTGCCATGATGCCGACTCGATACTAGTGCTCTCGCCGAAGAAGCTATGAGATGACTTGTGCGTCGGTTGACCTCGTAAGCTGCTAAATGATCTAGGAAGTCCTCTACCTACGATCTGGGTTGTTTGTTGCTATAGAGGTCTGGAGAGTTGCATTGGTTTGAGTTAGGTTTGCTTGGGGACAAGCAAACGGTTAAGTGTGGGGGAGTTTGATAGACCGATAATTACACGTATTTTCACACGTATTTTCACCCCTATTCTTGAGCCGTTTGAAAGGTTGATTCTCGGGTTTTAAGCCGATTTCACGCAGATTTTTCCACTCAGTGAATTCTTGTTATCTAGCAATGAAACTGGAATGCAAGTCTAAACTACCAAACAAACAAAGCAAGTAAACTGTTGTATTCAGGTTAAGAGAGGTCACCCGGATATGGTTCCCCCTAGACTGCAGTTAAGCCGGATTGTAATTACCAAGTTCAGTTTCTATGATATTTATACTGCGGAAGTGATAACGATGTAAATGCACATGTTTGCGCCCCTAGTTCTTATCCGTTTGAGGAGTATAGTCGTGTGTTTTGGCCTATTTTACGCCGGGTTGTGCTATTTTGTCATGTTTCAGGTCCCAGGCGTTAAAGGGAAGGCTAACCGCGAGTTTCGGGGCATTCGGAAGTCATTTCGGTGAGCTGGAGCCAAAACACGGGCAGACCCAAGGCATTACACGGCCGTGTACTGCTGGCCGTGCTTTTAATGCCGAGAGCAAATTTGGTTTGGCCAATTCAGTTGCAAACACGGGCACTGAAGCACGGCCGTGTTCAGTCAAAGCACGGCCGTGTCCATCGCGAAGCACGACCGTGTTTCCACCAGCTGCTGGCCGTGTAATTAAGCCCTGGCCGAGGCACGGTCGGAGTCAGGCAAAGCACGGCCGTGCCCTCGACCGTGCTTTGGCCACTGATGCTTTTAAGCAGATTTTCAGCCACAATTCAAGAGGATTCAAGTTTTTGAGAGAGAGAGCAGTTCCTAGAGAGAGAAAGTGACGAGCAGGAGTTCCCAAGTGCCCTAGATTGATCTTCAACACCATTGGAGGCCAGCTTGAGCTTGGAGAAGTGCCAATCAACGTCCAGAAGCAGGAATCCATCCTTCGCAGTATGAATTCCGTGTCTGATTCTGCTTTTGCTTTCTTCTCTATGGAGTAGTTCTCCCATTCATCTGGGTATGGAGAACCCTAGATTTGTATGTTAGGCTTTGATTGTATGAACCCAAGTACTGATTCTATGATTGATTATATTCGATTGAGGTTTTAATGATTGAATGACTTGAATCCTGATCAAATTCCTGTTGTTTCTGCTTTAACCTAGAATGAGAATATCTGCCTAGGTTGATAGAGCATCCTTGATTGAAGGTAGGGAGTTGGTGACTTTAGTCGAGGAGCCAACTCATTATTCTGTACCGGATTTACTCCGGTAGTGGAGGTTTTGTTCTTAGGGCCTCAATCTGTTGACTCCGGTGGAGGTTAGTCGCCCGCTAGAGAGTCAGATTGAGAGGGTCTGAAGACCTTTAGTCGAGACTTCAGGCTGTTTAAGAACCTTCCGCAGTATAACTGTCATAGAAACTGAACTTGGTAATTACAATCCGGCTTAACTGCAGTCTAGGGGGAACCATATCTGGGTGACCTCTTTAACTTGAATACAACCGTTTAGTTGCTTTGTTAGTTTGTTAGTTTAAACCTGCATTAAAGTTTCATTGCTAGATAACACGAATTCACTGAGTAGTCATCATATCTAGGACCCGGGTTGATAATTAAACCTAAACCCGCTATACTACGCTTTAGGAAGTGGTTACACTTGGCCAATTCCTGGAGTGACAGTAGAGTCGAGTCAAGTTTTTGGCGCCTTTGCCGGGGAACGGCTAGGTTGTTGAAGAAAAGTGATTTCTGTTAATTTGGCTTTTCTTTTTGCTTTGTTTGCTTTGTCCCACTTGTGCCTTCACGGGTTTGTCTCCTTGAGTGTGTGCAGGTAGTGCATGACCCGTAGCCAGTCGGGAGGTTTACTGCCGTTGAATCCAGAGATTGACCGCACCTGTCGCCAGCTCAGGAGACAACAACGAGCTAGACTGGCTACGGAAGAGCGCATAGACGGCCACGTGAGCAGTGATTCTGAAGAAGAGCACAGGATGGACGGAGAGTATAATCCGCACCAGGGGAATCCACAGCAGGTTCCCCCTGTGAATCAGGTCCTGGGGAACAACCCCATACCCCAGGATCATGGAGTTCATCATCCACCGCAGCCGGGTCCCACCCTGGAGTACTACTACACTCCGCGGATTGCTGACATCCGCCCGGTCATCCTCTACCCGCCGATCCCAGCAAACAACTTTGAGATCAAGCCATGCTGGATTCAGCTCATCACATCTTCTATCCAGTTCCATGGCCTGAAGAATGAGGAGGCCAGGGTGCATCTTTCCCGTTTTCTACAGCTGACAAACGGGTTCAAGCTGAATGGTGTCCCGGATGATGCGATCCGCCTTCATCTCTTCCCCCATTCTCTGGCGGGGAATGCTAAGAGGTGGTTGGAGACCCAGCCCCCATTGTCCATCACCTCTTGGGACGATCTGGCTGACAAATTCGTGCACAGGTATTATCCGGCATCGAAGACTACAGAGATTCAGCGGGAGATCACTCACTTCCGCCAGGAGCCAGATGAGTCACTCCGTGATGCTTGGGAGCGGTACATGGGCTACTTCTGGCAGTGCCCCCACCATGGCTTTAGTGATGCTTTCACTGTGGGGAACTTCTACAGCGCTCTCTCCCCAGATAGCCAGAGGGTGATTGAGTCTTTAGGCCCAGGAGGGGATATTCTCACCAAGACTCCACCCGAGCTGAATCAGATGATTAATACATTGGCTGCCAGGGATCACTCTTGGGGGCAGAGCAGCAGAGGCAGACATTCCAGGGACCGTGGTGTGCACGCCATGGAGACCAGATCCGGGCTCGAGCAGCAGGTAGCTGAGCTAGTGCAGACATTGAAGCAGCCCAATAGTCTTATTCCGGGCAGAGGTTTGGCTACACCTCCAGTTGCTCAGTGTCAGTGGTGTGAGAGCTCCAATCACCTAGTGGAGGACTGCCAGGCTATGAGGGAGTCTACCACACCCCAGGAGCAGTTGGCCTTCATCGCCAATGCGAGGCGCCTCGATCCATACAGCAGCACATATAATGAGGGGTGGCGCCAGCATCCCAACTTCGCTTGGAGCAGCAACACCACTAAACCACCTGGTTTCCCAGCACCAGCAGGTGGTTTTCAGCAGAGGCAGCCCTTCCAGGCTCGCCAGGGGCCAGACCCACAGCAGCCCTACCAGCCTAGGCAGGGGCAGCCATTCCAGCAGCCCCAGCGCCAGTTTGCCGAGCCAGCAGCAGCTCCAGCCCCAGATGACATGATGGCAAAGCTGGAAAACATTCTAGCTTCATTCATGACGAGCACTCAGGCGACTATCACGAGGTTGGACCAGAGTGTAGCCTCACTGGAGGCAGGTCAGAGGAACCAGGGTGCCATTTTGCAGGATTTGCAGACCCAGGTGGGCATCTTGGCCCGCCAGAACACCACCAGGGCACCGGGGACTCTGCCTGCCACCACTGTTCCTAATCCTCGAGATCCTCACCAGCATCAGCAGCTGGATGCCATTTTTACCAGGAGCGGTAAGGTCATATCTGCTGATCCTGTCCCGGCCAGACAGGAGGAACCACTACCTGCTTCAGCACTTCCAGCCGATGATGCAGAAGTGCGGGTGGAGAAGGAAGCCCCTGCTCCCAAGCCACAACCAGTGGTTAAGGAGCATGTACCCCAGCTTCCCTTCCCCACTCGCCTACACAAAGACAAGCTGGAGACTAAGTTTGCCAAGTTTATGGCAATGTTGAAGCAGCTCAACATCAGCATACCATTCATGGAGGCACTGTCGAAGATGCCCAAGTATGCCAAGTTCATGAAAGATATCTGCACCAACAAGAAGAAACTTGAGGATCTCTCGACAGTGATGCTGAGCGAGGAGTGTTCTGCTATCCTGCAGAACAAGCTGCCCGAGAAGCGCAAGGATCCAGGGAGTTTTACTATCCCTCTTACTATTGGCAGCATGCATGTAGGAAAGTCCTTGGCGGACCTAGGCGCTAGCATTAACGTCATGCCATATAAGTTGTATAAAATGCTAGACCTAGGTGAACTTAGCCCTACTAGGATGAGCATTCAATTAGCTGATCGTTCTATCGTGCATCCTAAGGGTATCATTGACGATCTGCTTGTTAAAGTAGGTACATTCACATATCCTGTTGATTTTGTTATTCTTGATGTGCATGAGGATGTGGATGTGCCTTTGATGCTAGGTAGGCCATTTCTTGCCACCGCCAAGGCACTTATTGATGTGCATGATGGTAAACTGATCTTGCGTGCTGGGAATGAACAAGCTACTTTTTCTGTGACTGAATTTGATCATTGTGCTATGATTGCTGTCACGCCTGTGAATGCCATTTCTGATCAGGTACACGAGTCTGTCGTGTACCCTTCTGCACCCCCTATTTTGCAGGACCCTCCTATCATTCCTTCGCCGCCACTCCATCCAGCCACGCCTCCGAACAAAAAGCTCAAGGAGGAGTGGCGGCCGAAGCCGCAGGTTGCTAAGCCTGCACGTAAGAAGAGTGGAGACCACTATGAGCTGGTCCCACCTCCTGCACCACGACCACCCTGGCCGTCTGGGTACTCACTCGCCTGCATCTTGCCAGACGGGCAGGTCGAGCTGACTGATGAGGGTGGTCGCATCCGTCGGGTGCATGGCCACAACCTTAAGCTGTACCTCAAGAGCGACGTGGATCCGCTCTTGGAGGCACCTGTTCCTGCACCGTCCTGAGTATCCACCATGGGCGTCCAGCTAATACGACGGTAAAGAAGCGCTTGTGGGGAGGCAACCCCACCACGGTTTGATTTTCTTTCTTGTGTTTTGAGTCGGATTGTAACCCGGTTTGGGTTTGGTTTGTTTTCTTTTGGTTTGGATGATATTTTATTGGGCTGACCATTGAACCTAACATACTGTGTTTGAGCTTTTCTGTTCCCCTTTGGCTGTGCTTGCCCCGACTGGTCCGCTTCCAGTCCCCTGCAGTCCGTGCATACCGGTAACATCTTTCCCTTATCCTTCCCTCTTCTCCATTGAGGGCAATGTCGATCTTAAGTGTGGGGGGATGTTTATCTTTTGACTGCATTAGATCTGTTTGTGTGCTTGGAGCCTAGTCCACTGTCCAAATTTTTAAAATTTGAGGGCTCCAAGTACGTGTTCCTTGCAATTGCCTGCTCAGTATGCTTTGAATTGACAGTCTTTATAGTAATATGCAACCTAGGGAGGTAGTGTAGCACTATGGAGGATGTTGATGCATTTAAGAAGTCTCATTTCTTCTTCATATTGAGTTGGTTGATTGAGTGAATTAATGA